CTGTTATCCTTATTATTTGTGATAAACGTTTCCCACACCTGGGACATCCTTATATTGAATTAACTTAACTGGAACTTCTATTACATCAAAGCCTGTGTGTGCATGCTTGAGGACTTAGGAAGTTGCTTATGACAAACTTATTGAGGTATCATACTTACCCAAGTACCTTGCTGTTCCATAAACCTACTACTGAGGGCCTTTTCCTAAAGTTGAATTATACGTTTCCAGGCTGTTAGTAATCCTGCATATCACCTGTTTTTTCACCACGGTTAAATGATGTTACCGGTCTCATACACATCTCTAAGTTGCTGAGAGAGAGTATATACGAGACCGCCCACTGACTAAACCGTGAGGTACGCTTCTCCGCAGTTGCTATCCTAGGCGTGCGTTGCAGAGTTGTTACAAAACAGTAGGACCTCCCGGTATTTCCAAGACCTTGACTTTAGTAAAGAGCTACTTCTGGTGGCCTGGGATGTTTCGCACTATAAAGGAATACGTCGCCTTCTGTGAGACTTGTGCCACGTGGAAAACATGAAAAGAAGAGACCCTATGGACTACTGATGAGTCTTCCCATTCCTACCCGGCCATGGGAGACGATATCGATAGATTTCATTGTGGAGTTACCCCCCTCCTCTGAGCACAACACTATAATGGTCGTCGTAGATCTTCCTACAAAGATGGCACACTTCACTGCCCTGAAAAAACTCCCATCCTCATCTGAAACTGCCGACGCCTTTATGAAAAACATTGTGAGGCTACATGGAATGCCAGCATCCACACCCACCAACCTTCCAGCTGTGGAGGTCTACGTAACCAATCTCCGGGGGCTGGCTGAGACCCTCCGATAAAATATTGAAGAAGCTCAAGCAGGCCAGAAAAGGTTCTACGACCTTCGTCGGAGGCCTTCACCCCAATATCAAGTTGGGGGCAAAGTGTGGTTATCCACAATGAACCTCAGAGCAAGGACTCCATCCAAGAAATTGGGCAAATTATATGTAGGCCCTTACCCTGTGGAGACAATCATTAACGAGAATACTGTGCACCTCACCCTTCCGCAGAAGATGAAGGTACAACCAACCTTTCATGTATTCTTACTCAAGCCCTATCAACTGAATCGTTTCCCTGGTAGAATTCCTCCTCAGGCTCCGTCCGTCCTGGTACAAGGTGAAGAGGGATACGAGATAGAAAGGGTACTGGACTCCCGAAGATACCGACGCCGGATCCAATACCTCATAAGATGGAAGAATTATGGACCCAATGAAGATTCCTGGGAAGATGAAGCTGATGTCCATGCACCTAGGTTGCTGAGGGAGTTCCACCGCAGATATCCGCAATCTCCATCTCCTTATCTGAACCTCAGAGGGATTCCCCTATGGGGTTCCTGTAAGAAACTCACCCCGTATCGCTCCGGGGCCGCACACACGCACTACGGGCCTTATCGGCTCCCTCCGGCGCACGACAGACCGTAGCTCTTTGCAACAGCTGACTGCACAAAGGGAACCAGGTTTCTCCCATACTACTCCCACTTCGTATGGAGTTTCTGTGGCTGAACAGGGGAACCGCTTGACAAAACAGCAACCCGGATCCTCAAGTGCATAGGGACAGAGACTCACAGGCTGTATTCCACTACTACCACCTACTGGGAGACTTCCTGGCTGAGACCTCCACAACCGCAAGTACCCGTGGGCTAACTAATATACTGTTACTTAGTTGTACACAAGGACTATTCCTACAGTAAATGCGGGTCTATCCCTGTTATCCTTATTATTTGTGATCAACGTTTCCCACACCTGGGACATCCTTATATTGAATTAACTTAACTGGGACTTCTATTACATTAAGTCTGTGTGTGCAGAAGTGGCTTATTGAGGTATCATACTTACCCAAGTACCTTGCTGTTCCATAAACCTACTACTGAGGGCCTTTTCCTAAAGTTGAATTATACGTTTCCAGGCTGTTAGTAATCCTGCATAGCACCTGTTTTTCACCAAGGTTAAATGATGTTACCGATCTCATACACATCTCTAAGTTGCTGAGAGAGAGTATATACAAGACCGCCCACTGACTAAACCGGGAGGTACGCTGCTCCGCAGTTGCGATCCTAGGCATGTGTTGCAGAGTTGTTACAGAGTGTATGTAAACCCTAACAATGAACTTCCCTTATTCAGGGCCCTCTTTGAGCACAGGCAGGGGCAGACTGACCATTGAGCCAGGAGAGGGCACATCACTGTAGGAATTAGGGACCTAATTAGTATTAGGCTTACTGGGGACCTCGGCAGCCTTCCTGTGAACCACAGCGCCCATTTACAGCACCGGCCACACATCTTCCTGGGGAACCCCACCACCACCTGAAAGACCCTCCAGACCCCTGTTGACTCCCGCACAGCCCTCCTGACCCCCCGCACAGCCCACCTGGGACCGCTCACAGCCCTCCTGAGACTCTGCACAGCGCACCTGAGACCTTGGACAGCCCACCTGAGACCCCGCACAGCAAGCTGCCACCCTGGAGCAACACAGATAATGTAGCTTTGTAATATTCTGCATTGCTGTATAATGCCTTGCTCAGATTTGTACTCCTCTGTAGCTGGTGGTTCTGACTTGCTATATAATATATTGCTGAGATTTTTATCCCTTCTACAGCTTGGAGTCAGTGGCAGAGCTACCAGTGTCCCAGCTGTGACTGGGCCTTGGCACTCCACCACTGTCCTAAAATCATTAGTCTGGATTGTTTTTGAAAAATGTCACACAAACAAAAAGGTATCAGTAATTGGTATCGGCCAGTACTTGAGGAAAAGTATCGGTACTCAGTCTGGAAAAAAATGGTATCGGTGCATCCCTAGTAGGAATGTTGGGTCTGCTATGTGACAAGGCTCCTCTTTGCTCCGTCCACTCTGAATAACCAGTAAACAGGACCGTGCACTATCGCCAGGCTCCGCTGTAAGGAATGACCGGCGTCTCCAGCCCTGAGAGCCACTCCAACCCCCCACGGCTTATTTCTGTGCTGCTAGCTGCTTTGCCTATTAAGGGAGCGCGGAGCTGAGCCAGCCTGCTAATCATGGAGTTGCAGCCCTTGGAGTTCAGTGACTGCTACCTGGACAGTCCCTAGCTTCAGGAAAGGATCTAGGCACACGAAGACTTGGAGAAAGATGGCAAGAACCTGATCGCTGCCAGCAAGTGTGAGGGAGACCTGGCTGCACAGTGTGGGGGATAGTACCGGACCAGGGGGAAGGATGGCACACGACAGTGGGGCATGGCACAGTATGGGGAGATGGTACACGACAGGGGGGAAGGATGGCGCAGTACAGGGGGAGGATGGTATAGTAAATGGGCATGATGACATGGGGGAGGGGCGGTAGGACAGGGGGGAAGGATGGTACATGATGGGGGGAGATGGGACAGGGGGGAGAGAATGGCACCGTACGGGGAGAGGGGGAAGCTTGGATGGCACAGTACACAGGGGAAGGATGGCATAGAACAGGGGTAGGGTGGTACAGTACATGTATTGTAAGTCTGCCCCTGCACACGCGGCTCTGTTCTGTTTACTATGCGATCGGCATCGCATAATGTTGCTCCACCCCTGCCTACGCTGTGCAGTGTGACCGTATGACATCTCAGGCAAGGTCACATCTACCTTTTTTGGGGGATGCTGTGGCGTGGGGGCAGGGCGAGGGTGGGGCATGGCAGGTAGGGGCCCAAGAAAATGTTTGCCTAGGGTTCACGCAATATTAAAGATGGCCCTGCCCTCATTTGCTACCTTTTAATCTGTTAGATATTAATAATTTAACTAACTTTCCATTATCTACAAATAATAATTACAATAAAAAGCTCAAGCCTAAAACGTTTGCAAAAATAAGCAAAAACGCCTGTACAAACAAAGAAAAAGTGCCTAAAAATGACCAATGACACTTAGCTCAAGTGTGAATAGGGCCTAAATGCCTAGACCTTTAAAACAAACTGCACTTATCTCATCACTCCCCTCTCCACAGATTTATTGTTACTGAGATTGGACGATACCTCTTTTGCAGGGGTAGTCAAACACTGACCCTCCAGCTTGGTGAAACTACAAATCCCATCATGCATCTGCCTCTGGGAGTCTCGTATGTCGCTGTCAGTCTTGCAATGCCTTATGGGATTTGTAGTTGCACTAATGCTGGCGGGCTAAAGTTTGACTACCCCGCTCTATTGTTTACATCCAGTGCTGCAATGCTCAGAGGGAGCATTGCAGCTGGCCGCACCTGCACATTACAGCCCTATAGACTTCTATGGGGCCATGTCCCAGGGAGAGAGACATGGCCAAGGGAGTCTTGCAGCGCTGGATGCCAACATACAGCAGAGCTTTGGATCTTGGTAAGTATTGATCTGCAAAGATGTAGTTCTCAGCTAACAAGGACCTGAAACCAAGCCTTCTTCATTCGCTAGTATTTATTATTATTTTTAGTGCATCACTTTACAATATAAGGAAGACATTACTGTTACAATACAGGAGAAGATGGTAAGGCGGGCCCTGCCCGTGAGAGCTTCCAATCTAAAAGAGGGTTTAATCTGGGCCCCTTTAATCTCCTCCCTCTGCTTGCGCAACTGTAGTCAGGAAGTAGTTAAGCGAACTGGCGTGTTGTTTTCCCAGAGCACATTCCTGACACTACGAGCCAGCTGATCTCTCATCTGTCAGGCTTCACATGTTTTTATTTGCATAGCCCGCCCTCTTCAACCAAGCGAACGTCTGAGCCCTATTCTGTGTCCGCCAATCATGATCGAAGTTCAATAAATGGGCGGAATCAACAGCTGGCGTTCCGTCGCCCCGCCAATCACTTCTATAACGAGCTGAGCGAGGCTGTGAACTAGAAAGGAACTAGAAAGTCCACGCCCTTTTCCGCTCAGTGAAGCCAATCAGCTTTCAGCGGGTGCTGTAGCGCCCGAGGAAGTGGATTATTGGTCACTTAGTGAAAAGGACGTCTTCCGCAGCCAATCGTAGGAGTTGCTTAAAAATGTAATGTAAGGAGGCGGGGCGCGTAGGGTGAGCAGCGGTGGTGGTAGGAATGGTGTTGTTAAGATGGCGGCGCTGAAGGAGGAGCGGAGTTACGGGTTGTCTTGTGGAAGGGTCGGAGGGAGGGTGTCTGTCTTCCACGTCAAACTCACCGACAGCGCCCTACGGGCATTTGAGAGCTACCAGAGCTGCCAGGTACAGGGGGGGCGGGTAGCCTTGGGACGAGCAGTTGTTGGGTGACCTGTTCTTACGTGGGGTGCATTAGCTGTGCGTGTGGAATGTTTATGGCTTCTAGTGTTGGAATGTGGTCATGGTGTATGTGGCTGTTCTTCATATTTCTCCATTGGGGGGTCCTGGTTAGCATGGCTGTTCTAAGTTGCTTGTAGGAGTTGGGTGAGCTCCATATAAGGCTGTGTTGTAATGCTCGCATTGCAGCCCCCCTCTGTCTGTTGGTCACTGACCTGGCCTTCCTGCCTGCCACTAAAGTCTCCAACTAATTCTAGCTTTCTATAATAGTATATTGGATTTCACATAAGAGTCCACTATGTATTTAGCTTGTTGGATCTATTGGATATTCTGATTTTATTATAGGGCGATGGAAAGTGCTTTATGTACCTGCAGGACTGTATAGAGTGACCAGGCCTTTAATCCTTTGTACAATGGGCCTGAATATGTCCCTTTTTAATAACTCACTTTGATTTGTCGTGGTGGTTGCTCCATAGCTTTGTAAAGGAAATTCACCCCACCCCCGCAACTGTTAACCTGATCAGAATGCCCTAACTCAGGAGTGGGCAAGCTCCAGCTGTGGTGAAACTACCTATCCCATGATGCATCTGTCTGTGGAAGTCATGCCTGTGAGAATTCTGTAATGTCTCATGGGATTTGTAGTTCCACAACAGCTGGAGGGCTGGAGTTTGCCCACCCTTGCCCTAAGTAGCCATCTAAATCCATGGTCATGTGACACATTAAGAGTAGAAGGCTCCTTGTCAGGTGTCCACTTTGTTGCGTGGGGTTGAGGACATTTCCTATTGGCTGTTCAGCACCCAGGTCCGGCAGTTGCATGATAATCTCATGAAGGAGGGCGGCATTTAATTGCTGACTTTCATTAGCGAGAAGAGGTGCCGGCGAGGGACACAGGACAGCCGAATCAGGCCTAGTTCACCCTATCCCTCACTGAAATGCTCAGGTTTAGCGTGTGGGCTAGAATGGTATGACAGCTGCTGTGCGTCATTTTGAAGGATCACACTGTTTACTTTTTTTTTTTTTTTTTTAAAGGGACAATAAACTCGGGGGTTACATCTTAAAAATGCTTTTAAGGCCCTAACTATTAACAAAACTGTATCTTATTTGTGTATCACTCGGCTGTAGATCCTCGAATCATCTCTGAATTCATGCTGACACTGTCCTTCCTTCTGGAGGGTGGTTACTTTTATTCCCCACGATCCCTATGTGTTGTAATGTAGCCAGCACTCCAAGCTCACTCCTGTGATGGACTACAATCTAATATTTAGTTTACTTTTGATGGTGTAATGGGTTGCACAGTGTTGGGTCCCAGGCTCCGGGGAGGGGGGGAGGTCGGGGCACTTACTGTTTAAACATTCCCTCCATGTCTTCTGCTGAAAGGTTTAGCCTGGATGCCTGGATAGTCTCCGTTCCCCGTTGCGGACACCCGTCGCGCTCACATCCCCGGCACCCGTCATGTAAACGGCCCGGCTAGATGTGAGGAGCGCCGGGATTGGAGGGGAGCTGGGCCGCGGCGGCGTGCGCGTTCGGTGGGCATGGCGTGCGCTGCGTGAGTGTGGAGCCGCGAACAGGCAAGGTAATAGATAGCCGAATAATCGACGATCGAAAATGTTGGTAACGTTTTCCATCGTCAATTTTAATCGACTAAATCGAATCGTTGTTGCAGCTCTAGTGGCTACTTTACAACACACAGGGTCCATGGGGAATAAAAGTAGCCACCCTGCAGAAGGAAGGACAGTGTCAGCACCAATTCAGAGATGATTTGAGGATCTACAGGTGAGTGTTACACAAAGATAGTTTTGTTAACAGTGAAGGTACTGGAATGTATTTTTAAGATTTAACTCCTGAGTTTACTGTCACTTTAAGTTTTATTTGGAATGAACAAACTGCACCCCATTTAGGTCCATGCACAGCAGTGTGGTGACATGCGGTGCAACAGCATGTCTGCATTTTTTTGCAGCTCACTCCACTGCACGTCACACCTGTGTTGTATTGTGATTGGGGCACCATTGTTTTCTATGTGTTGTAGCGGTGACTACTGCTGTTCAGCTACTCAAAAACACTAGTCACCACTTCTGATGTGAATGAGTCCTCAGAGAAAAATTACTTCCCTCTACTGGGAACACAGCAGGTAAAAAATGAGCTTCTATTCCTTCCTCACTCTATCCACAGCTCAAAAACATGGCTTCAATTGTTTTTTGTTTACCAAAATAACTTCATAGTATGACAGTTGGGACCATCCAACAGAGGTAGGGGCCACGGCCTTCTCAAAAGAGGGCTCCAGCATACTTCAGGAGATGCCGATATTCCCTAGGCTGGTGTAGGTGTGGCTTCAACTAGATCCGGTGAGGCAGTTCTTTGTTCAAGTTAAGTTTATGAAGCCAAATGCCAAGGTAATAATGTTTTACAAGCATAAGCTAATTACAGAGTAAATATAACCATAGTAACAATTAAAAAAATTGCAATGGAGTATAAGCAGTTCCCATATCAGTGAGGCAATTCTTTGACCTCTCAGTAAGTTGTTCAGATGCTGGCCATTGGACTGTGGTATATGCCAATGGTGTAATTTGGGAATTTGGATGGGCTTTCAACAAGTTATTTACATTAGGTATATGTCCAGCCAGAACTCGGCCTTTTGGCTAAGATCAAGTGTAGTATCTGTTCTTATCAGTCAAAGATGCACCGGTAGCCAATTGCCAGTGTAATTGTCTGAGTACTGGAGGAGGTTGCAGACCCCAGGTTAACGACTCTTCGGTAATGGGTGCGCTTGGTGTCGTACCTCTGTAAGGTGCTCAGACTCCTGATAATGGGCAGATCCGAAACTTGATCGAGGCTGGAGGGTTGGGAGGCGGCAGAAGCCCGTGGTGTTGTGCCCCTTGGGGGTGGCGTCCCAGGGGTGCTCAGAAAGTCACAGGGTCCGGGACCTACCCTCATGATGCACTTGGTCACACACCACATTGCATTTTTCTACACAACACTTCTTGGACAGGCCTTATGGCTAGACCGGGGCAATTTTTTTGCACTCGGCCCCTAGGGCCTGTCAGCGTGGTGCACTGGAACTTATTATTTATTGCACCTTATGCACGATACACGATTGGCCTTTTTTTGGCATTGACCCACAGATGCTGATGGTGCAGGTTTCTTCGGGGCCTATTCCTGACGCGAGCAGATTCTGTGCCTCCTACGGGGTTCTCTGTCTCCTCCCACCCAGGAGGGGGGTTTCTCTTCGGGAGATCCCCCCTGCCTAGTACTGTGAGGGACCTGTTTCGGCAGGTCCCCAAAGGATTGGTGGTCCACTGGCCTTCGGGTCGGTGGACTAACAGTCTCAACCCCTGTCAGGAGCCTAACCATTGTCCCTGAAACAGGAAGTGATGAAAAGTCTAGGGATGAACCAATACCGTTTTTTCGTTATCAAGTACTGATCTCGCATTATTTTTTTAAATTTATTTTTGTCAGCACTTGCCAATACCGATACCGAAGTCCCATTAACCTCCCTGGCAGTATGATTATGCAGGATTTTAGCATGCCAAAGCGGTACATTGTTTTTCATGGCAATTTGTTGTTCTGTATTGTAGACCTGTAATTCTTAGTAAATCTTAGGAATAACTCACCTAAATCTGTCCAAACAAGAGTCCAGTAGACATCCCGGGTATGATAAAGTTTGAAACACGAAATCATAAATAATATAGCAAATAATTATGAATAATAAGAAATTATAATATAATTTAAAAAAATGGTCCAGTAAATGGGAATTGTGGGGGCGCTGCCTGATCCGTACCACAGTCAATAGAGTGCAGTAAAAGTGCAGGCAGGGCACTAGACAAAGCTCTAGGGACAAAATTTGAAGTGAAATAGTTTGATACATATATGTAATTATAGTAGATTACATTTGTATTGTGTGTATTCTGTGTAAATGTCATGTTTGCACTTTTGAGTGACACTTTTGCGCAATCCCGAGTGTGGCTCGGGGTTACCGCTCTTGGTCCTGAAAATTAACCCCGAGCCACACTCGGGGATACCGCCAGGGAGGTTAAGGAAGCCAGGCAGCGTCCCGATTAGCCTGGAAGCCAACTCCATGCTCCCTAGTCAGCAGGTGCCCAGGAAGCATGGAGCCGGCTTTCTAGCCAATCAGGAAGCTGGGCAGGGAGTCATTACCCACCCCCCCGGCTTTTTGATTGGTCAGGAAGCCAGCTCCAAGCTCTCTGGTGATGAGGTAGCTTGGAGCCGGCTTCCCAGCCAATCAGGAAGCTGGGCAGCTTGTAATGACTCGCTGCCTGGCTTCCTGATACCGGAAGTTCCGGGATTGGGATAGGCATCGGGAGCATTTGGGTGAGTGTGAGTACTCTCCCCAAATACTCAGTATCTGGACTGATATTGATACTAGTATCTCTGCATCCCTAACTATAACCTGGCTGGGGTTCCAACCATTCCTCACTCAAAATAAAAAAAAACATGTTTTGACTAGAAATGCACTTTAACCACTTGCTGACCGGGGTGTTAAACCCCCTTTTCCATCCAGGCCATTTTTCAGTATTCCGCGCTTTAGTATTTTTGACTGACGTTTATTCCGTCATACAACGCTGTACTGAAATGAATTTTATACCATTTTTTGGGAACAGATGGCGCTTTCTTTTGATGGTATTTAATCACCAATGGGGGTTTTATTTTTTACTATATTAACCACTTCCGGGCCGGCCGTAGTAAAAAAACGGCCGGCCCGGAGCTCTCTAGATCTGAGCGGGGCGCGAGCGGGAAACGGCCGAAATGTAAAAACAGGCAGCGATGCCTATTACCATACAAGCGATCCGCCATACAGCCCATACATACAATCGGCAGGCTATAGAGCCGCCGATCGTATGCATGTGAAACAGCTGGTAACGGCTGTAAAGAACAGGCTGTTTTTTTCTGCCCGTGCGCACGCGCTAGTGGGTGCGCACGAGCAGGAAAAAAAA